GAGAATCTCTACAGACTTGTAGTAAATCTTGTTGAGGCTAGTTTGTGGTTTGGCAGAGGCAAAAATGGTGGTCTAGTGATATCTTTGGGAGGGAAACCCACCCAGGGTCCGAAGGATTCTTTTAAACACAAGGGGGGCGTGCTGCCTTTTTGCAAATTTAAGAGCAACCTGCTTGTGTATTTGTGTGTCTTTCTGCAATGTTGGACCAATCGGGTAATTCCGTCTTCGGGATGCCGTTCTCTTTTTTTGCTCGTCTGCGAATAATATTAAATTTTGGAAAAACTGAAGGCCCGAACTCTTTTATCTCGAAGCGAAATGGAAATCCCCTGTTAAGAATTCACGATGGATTTCACATTTAAATGGAGAACCTTCTGTTTTATTTTTGGGACACTCTGCTCAAAAACCCCAAAAGTTCTCTAAGGAAATATATTGCTTTGTCTCTTTAGATTCGCCCGGCGCTGTCGGGAGTTCGGACGTTGTGGTCCTGTTGCACGGATTTCCGACCTCGAGTTATGACTGGTACAAGGTGAGTGGCGGGGGGATGGACAGACCTGCTGGATGAGGGCAGGGTGGGCTATCGAGATGCCGTAAGAACTAATGGCAACCCTCCCTCCCTCTGTCCCTCCTTCTCTTTCTCGTCCCACCTGCAGATCTGGGAAGGGCTCACGCAACGATTTCATCGTGTGATTGCGCTGGATTTTGTGGGGTTTGGCTTCAGCGACAAGCCCGTGAGTACATTTCGAAGGACATTCCACAATCTTAATTTCCTTTCTTTCCCCAAATATTGTCCGAATACCAGAGAGGGACTATACTTCATGCTTCATGTAGACGGCAGCGAGAATTGCATTGGCGCGATGTTGGAAAAATGAGAACACCCCGTCAGACGAAAGCATGATTTGGGAAATATTGGACTGTGCAGAGACGGATAGATTGACACTGAAAATCTATATATATATATAAAAGTGAAATACCCCTCACTCATCATCACAAAATCTACAGAACTGTAAAGCCTACAAACTTGGAAATTTGGCACATATGTTCCTCTTGGCTTCTAGGGGCTCACTAAGAAAGGATTTTTCGAAAGGACCATAAGAACATTTAGAATATTTCCTATATTATTACTATTATTATTATTATTATTATTATTACTATTATTATTATTAACACGCTCTGATGCTAAGGAGTTCGACTCCCCCTCCCCACCTGAAAAAAAGAAATCTCTTCCAAATGCAAAACACAAGCAGAGGAGTTTCAGTTTTACTTTCACAGCACTCAGCAGCTTTAGTACACAACAGTTGAGCTAAGCCATGCCCAGGCTCCTTGCTGTCTCCTTGCTCACACAGCAAATACTGCTTTCAGTTTCCAAACAGCCCTCAAGTCTCTCACACAGTAACAGGACGCTAGCCAGATGAATGCCGATGGATGCTGGTAGGCAGAGGCAGAATTTTTTTAACCTTATTTTCGTACCCAAAAACTAAGTCCCACCACATAGTTTCGTAGCGAAGCACGGGGATTGAGCTAGTACAGAAATGTTTTTGTTAGGTAGAATACCAGAAAGTTACGACAAAGGGATTATATACTTAATGCTACATGCATTGACCGCAGCGAGAATTTGCATTTGCACAATATTGGAAACATGAAAAAAAAAACCATTTGATGAAAGCATCATTGGGAAAATACTGGAGCCTGCAGAGATGGATAGCTCGACATTAAAAATAAAAGACAAAGGAGATATACAGAGTAATGTTTAATGTGGAATAGGGTTAGGGTTAGATAGGGTCAACGGTTAGAGGTAAGAGGTAGAAGTTTCTGCCGCACAAAATTCTAACTCGATTTGATAACTCTGGGCTATGGAGGTGTCCCATTGGAGAGTATTAATTACGAGACACCGAAGGGGTGGAGGGGGGGAAAAGCAGGGTCAAGGGTGATCATGAAGGATGCGCCTCGGAGTCGGCTACACCCAGGCAGTGCCGGACATGTTAACTCCCAATAAATCCTTTTGAAGTTTGGCTCGAGACTCAGGATTTAAATGGGGGGAACTGCTGGATTCCTGACACAGGCCTTGATTCAAACTCAGTGCTCCCCCCTCTCTCCCTCCCCCTCTCTCCCTCTCTCTCTCCCTCCTTCCCACTCTTCCTCCCTCCCTCTCCCTCTCTCCCTCTTCCTGGCAAACAGCGGCCTCACACGTACTCCATCTTCGAACAAGCCAGCATTGTGGAAAGCCTGTTGCGCCACCTGGGCCTTCTGAATCAACGGATCAACCTGCTTTCTCACGACTACGGAGACACCGTCGCCCAAGAGCTGCTCTACAGGTGGGTGGAAACTCTTCACACCCTTTTGCCTTCATCCTCAGCCTGTTTTCTCAAAGGACGACAGGGAGTCCTCGCTTTACGACCACCGTTGGGAGCGGGGTTTCCATTGCGAAGCAAGGCCAGGCCGGTCGCTAAGCGTGCCATGGCCAATTTTGACGACCTGTTTCTCCGCCAAGGTTGTTAAGCAAGTCGCCATGGTTCTTCAAGTGAATCACAGTACAGTCGTTAAGCGAATCTGGCTTCCTTCCTTGAACCTGCCTATCAGAAGCTGGATGGGAAGGTCACAAAATAATGATGATGTGACCTCCTAGGGCAGTGGTGGCTAATCTTTTGGGGCGCCTGTGCCAAAAATTATGCACTTGCACGCTCGCGCTCACGTGCCAGCACTCAGAAGGCAATGCGCCCCCCCCCCAAGCCCCTTACGCATGCGCACGCAATTCCCACCCACCCATCCACGCCACCCCCTTCCCTGCACTGCGCCTCACAGCTGATTTTCAGCCAGTTTGAGGCCTTTTTCGGCCTCCCAGAGGCTTGAGGAAGGCTTCTGCAGGCTTTGCAGGATGAAAATTAGGCCCGTTTCATCACTTCCAGTATTTCTGGAGCAACAGGAAGTGACAAAACAGGCCTTAGTTTTCGGCCTGCAAATCCTGCAGAAGCCTTCCTCAAGCCTCCGGGTGGCCGAAAAAGGCCTCAAATGGGCTGAAAATCAGCCGTGAGGCGCGCGCATGCGCAGTGAGGTAAGTTTGCCTGCGGCTTGCGTGCCGGCACAAATGGCTCTGCGTGCCACAGGTTCGCCATCACGGTCCTAGGGTGCTCCAACCGTCATAAATATGAATCAGTGGGTGGCCAGGCGCCTGAATTTTGATCCTGTGGCCACAGGGATGCCGCCACGGCCTTTAAATGTGAACACCGGGCATAAGTTACTGTTTTCAATGCCGTCATAATTTCAAATGGTCGCTAAATGAATTGTTACAAGTCAAGGACCGCCTATAAACTGTCAGGAACCTTCCTGAGATTTTGCAGAGTAACGGCTGGGGTTTGGTGCTGTTTTGTAGAATTGGGTTGCGCTTAATCCTTACAGGCAGTCCTTGTTTAGTGACAGCCTCATTTAGTGACTCTTTGCAGTTAGGGTGGTGAGGAAAACTGCCAGTCCTCGCATTTGTGATCTCCTTGTGTAAAGCCAAGAAGGATTGTCACCTGCGGTTGGGAGTTTGCTTAGCTACTGCTTTGTTTAATGACCGTATCGCTGGTCACAATTGCGCTCACTAAACAAGGACTCCCTGTATTACTTTGTATTTCAACCTTCGGGCAAGAGACTGGGTATGTCCTCAGGTAAAATACATACACCTGGAATCCAGGTAGCCTTGAGAGTTGATGCTTCTTATTGCAGCTCCCCAAATACGGCAAACCCTCTGAAGTGAACTCAAAAGATTCCTTTATTCGGAGCGTCGGCAGTCCGGCAAAAAGTTTCTCTCTCACCGCAGGCTAACAAGTCTGTCCGGCAGGGAGATGAATAGTTGTCTGCCACATGTATTCATCTCCACCCCCTGCCTTTTATCCCCAGAGCTAGGATAGGGCCTCGCTAGCAGC